AGCGTGGAGGGAGGAGTGGCATCCACTTCCATAATAGCTTGCCTCTGGAAACCCTGTGAACCTGGAGAGAGGATGAGAGACACATATGCATTGAGGACTCGACTTCATAAGGTCGCTATGAGTCGCCTGTGACTCCACGGCACTTAACAACAACAACATAGTACCAGGTAGAATTTTTTGGGTGTTTTTGTTTTTATGTTCTAGAATTCTAAGAAAGCTATCAATGAATAATAAAAATGTGTGAGTTTCTAGCTTTTAAAATTAATGTTTTTAAATCAAGCAATGGAGTCTTAACATTTTAAAAACATTTTTAGAGGAAATAATCTGTTACTATAAAAACAGAGGAGTGAAATTAAGCAGATGTAATTCTCTGAGGAAGTGGGCTTTTATCAACTTGTCTGATATGCTTTAAACAGGCTTATACATTTCTTAAAAGAAGTGTCTGTTCTGTGTACATGTGGGTCAGCATGTCCACTGCTTGTACCTAGTCATACTTTTTTATGACTTCCCAAGAAGGAATTAGCTTTCACTGCTTGTAAATCTTAACTCTCTTGTTTTGCTCAGAAATATCTCACTTTTAATACATCTTGTTTTTTCCTTTTAAAGGTTGTGTTAAATTTTTACCTTTTGACATTAAATAACAAAGAAGGAAACTTAACAACTTTTGAAAAGAGTCTGATTTATAGGGATTTGGGACTAAAAGAAAACTTTTACTGCCTGCCTTTTTGAAAGATCACGAAAGTTCTCCAGAGACGCGTTGGTGGCTCGACAGTTAAGCATTTGGCTGCCAACTGAAATGTTACCTGTTTGAACGGACCAGCTGCTCTACGGGAGAAAAGACCTGGAGAGCTGCTCTTGTAAAGACTAGAGCCTTGAAAACCCTATGGGGCAGTTCTGTGCCCTCACTTGGATCTCTGTAAGCAAAACACAAGGTCTCCAGCCTTCAAATTATCTTTTTCCGCCTTGAGACAAACTAGGTAATAGAATTTCAAGTAGCTTTCTCCTATTGAAGACTACTAGGTGGTGACATTTTAAAAACTTTTACTTGTAAATAAGATACCTCTTTTATTGCCATCAAGTTAGAACCAACATATAGCCAATCCTCCAGTGGTTTTTCGGAGGCTGGAAATCACATGAGAAGAGATAGCTGATCTTTCTGCAGCAGAGCTGTTGGTACCGTCAAACCACTAGAGAACCTTGGGTTAGCAGCGAGGCTCATTTCAGAGCTCCCGAAATGATACAGAACAAGTTTTAGCTGCCCTGCAGGAGGAAGATAGGCAGTTTCTTCCTTTTAAGATTTGCAGCTTTGGAAACCTGATGGAAGGCTGTTATGAATTGGAAGAAACATCATAGCAAGAGGTGCGTTAGATACATTATTATTTAACCATTCACTATTGATCTTTTTAAACTGGTAATTTTTTAGCTTGTAAAATCATTAGGAGCCCTGGTGCTACTTGACTGCTCATAAAAAAGTAGGTGGTTTGAACACACCAACTGCTGGAGAAAGGTTTGGCAGTAAAAGTCTAGACTTTGTTCGTAAAGATTTAAAGAAACTATGGGACAGTTCCCAGAGGGTCACTATTGTGTAGCTCCTGTCTTCTGTTTTCTCTGTCTACATGTAACATCAGCATGTTTTTAAAAGTAGTTTTGTCTTTTGCAATAGTTCTAGATTTTTAAAATAATTTAGGCCATAATATAGGAAGTTCATCATATACTTCTTGACCTGGTGTGCAAGGAGCAGATACAGCATGAGGGGGGACAAGTTTGACTTCTGCCCACTTCATAAGAGGGAACTTGTTCCCATCAATGATATCTATAGCAGTAAATAGCTGTTCAGTCAGACATGCCTCCTCCTATGCTCCTGCGTCTCTTTCTGCTGGTCATTCAGGTCCGATATTCACTGTGGACTCATAGACTTTACATACAGTTATGGGGTTTCTTAGGGAAGTAAGTTGGAGAGTGGGAAAGGCAAAGAGTATCACCCAATGCAAATCCAGGTTTAATCCAGCAGTTCCAAGCCAGATTAACAAGGCATAATTCCTCTACTTGTGACAGTCTAGGTTCAGTTCAGCAGCATAAATACAAGAAGCCTCTGGTTCCTTCATTCATCCATCCAGCAGACTTTGTTCCAATCAACTTTTCCTCCAGTCATCTGACAAACAAAACCTTTAACTGTAGCATAAATGCAGGGTGCCTCTGGTTATACCTTGCCACAGTCTGTTTACAACAGTGCCACAGTCTCCACTCTCTCTCCTCTAGGATACTGTCACTAGGTACTTCACAGTGTGGAATGCTCTTTCTTATATTGAACCATGTGTCCGTAGTTAAGGTAGTTGGAGACTGTGCACTCCCTCCCAAAATGAGGACTAATGCAATGGCTAAGAAAGCCAGTTTTTAGGTTTCTGACATCACACTTGGTTTCTCCTATTTATTAACAGCTCAAGTTTATATATTTGTCCGAATTAATGAGCCAGTGCTCAGACACCTGACCCAAGCTATGGTCTTTTCATTCACCTCATATGCACATGAAAGTTGGACAATGAAAAATATAGAAGGTCTGTTTACTATGACTGAATAATGAATAAAGAAGACTTGAAGGAGAGTTAATGCCTTTGAATTATAGTGTTGGTCAAGAATATTGAATATACCAATAGACTAGGAAAATAACAAAGGAATATGTCTTGGAGGAAATCCATCCAGGGTGCTTCCTAGAAGTGAGGATGGTGAGACTGCCTCACATGTCTATTATTATGAAGGAGTCCCTGGAGAAAAGTGTCATATTTGGTAGAGAGTCACCCAAAAAGAAGATCTTGAGTCAAGTGTGTTGATAGTGACTGTGTCAGTCTGCTGTTGAGTGGCCTTGAGAGGACATGGTCTCTCTTTCACTCAAGCCAATCAGGTTATCATTCAAATATGGGAATTAGTTGAGAGGCAGTGACATCTTGCAGGAATTAAAATTAGATTTCTGTCCACAAGAAATAAGTTTTCTATTTCATTTGTTATTACTGCTGTTGAGTTGATTTCTGATACTCATGATTACCCCATGTGACCATGGGAAAAATTAATCTATATGGTTTGCTGTGCTGTGGTATTTCTAGGAGCAGATTGTCAAGTCTTTATTCCTTAGAGCCACTGAGTGCGTTTGAATCACTGATCTTTCAGTTAGCAACCAACTGCTTAACAATTATGCCATAATTCCTTCAACCAATCAACAAAGGACTGTACAGAGCACAGGGTTCTGATCGCTGTTAGACTGCATTAACATGTTGCCGCAAATGACGGCAAATGTGTTTCTAAGCATGGTTGTCAATTTAAAAAGTGTGTGGCAACGTGTTAAGTTATGGTAACCATACCTGCTCAGACTTTAGCAAGTAAGTTCCACCACTTCACCCCTGTTTGTTTGAGAAGTTTTCTCTCTTTTGAATTTGAGGTGCCCAGTGTGATGACAGCAGTTCTGCTGTCATTCCTGACCTACAGAGACTTCCTAGTTCTCTTTAAAGAGTGCTAGTATTTTCCTCACAATGCTTTTCTCTGAGTCGTGGTAAAGGAAATATCACAGACCTTTGTAGAAGACACACAAGTGGTAGGTGAGCAGATGTTACATGATAAATTTACTCTAAGATGTCATTTCTCTAAATCTTTATCTGCCTGTCTCTGCAGTACACTAACGGGTTTCTGGTATTTCAACTTTAGTTAGTGTAGTCTGTCTATTTGCAGGTCCCAGGGTTACATAATGGTTAGATGCTAACCATCCTAACCAAGAGGTTGGGAGTCAGAATCCACTCAGAGGCACCTCGGAAGAAGAGTGTTCTCTCTACTTCCAAAAGATCAGGTTTTTTTTTTTTTTTGTTTTTTTTTTTACAGTGGGCAAAAGATCAGTTTTGAAAACCCTGTGCAGTGCTGTTGTATTTTGACTGTATGCTTGCTGGTTGGGTGAATTTTGTTTGGGTGGGCTTTTTTTGTTTGTTTGTTTTGGTTTTTTTCGCTTTTGGTCTTTGGGTCTGAGTTTATTCAGGTAGCTAAATAAACTCTTGAAGGTACTATCCATCCACTCAAGCTCCTATATTATGGCTTGATGCCTGCTTAAAGGAATCCTGATGGTATGGTGCATTATGTTATAAGTTGGACTGCTGAGAGGCCAGCAGTTTGAATCCACCAGTCTTTCGGTGGGAGGAAGGTGGACAATCTCCTCTTGTCAAGACTTACAGCCTCAGAAACCTAAGAGGGGTCACTGTGCACTGAAATGCACTCAGTAGTGCGCTTGAAGGTGGTTTTTATTTCTCCTTTAAAATTTCTGCTAATGATTGCTATTACTAAATTTTTTAGTCCAGTCTGTCATTGTCTTCCTCTCACTCTTAACAGATACCCTCAGGAGTCATTACCACAGATATTCCCCATTTCTGTTTATATGAATTGGTAAAATATGCAATTCTTTGGGTATATACTGTATATACTGTACATAAAAGACTGCACTTTGTCTTTTACCTTTTGGGGGCTTGCTGCAACTTGAGTTTACAGAATTTACAACAGTGCTTTCCAGTAGAACTTTCTGCAATGATGATGGCAATTCTGTAATAGCTACACTATCCACAGGTAACTCTTGAACATTTGAAATGTAGGTAGTACACCCTAGGTGCTAAATTTTAAATTCAACATAATTAATTTTTATTTGACTTAATTAACTTAAATTTAATAGCTACATGTGCCTACATATCATATTGATTAGTGGAAGCAAAGAGAAGAGGTAGAGGTGGGTGCTTGGGGTGATCAGTGGGCTCTTTCCGCTGTTTTGAAGGCAGAAGTAAGTTCTTCAGGCAAGGGGCCTGACTACCTCAGACTGGCACAGGAGGGCTTCTACTGGCAAAAGGAATGTGGCAGAATTTAGAGGTTTGAGGTTCAGATGCCAGTATGCAGGTTCTAATATGTTCCTAATCAGGGCCCTAAACTTAAAAATGAGAAGTTGGGAATTCAGCTTTCATTGTCATGTAATATTCTGCAAGATTAGAGTCTTGGTTTGCGGTTGGCTTTTGGCATTGTGTGGTTTGTTTTTATTTTGTTTCTTTTAAATCATCAGAAATCTCAGGCTTGTGACTAAAGGAGAGGAAGAAATCTTTCAGAACAATTGTCTATTTTTTAAATGTTTTACATAGAGCTTTAGTTAGAGGGTTAAAGTGTTGAAGTCAATACTTTGTTTTCTGGTGAGTTTAGCAGCAAACACTATTGTAATCCCATATCTTAACTAAATTGGTCTGGGAAAACAGATACTGCTCAGCCAATGTCTTGCCTCCTATAGGCACTTGATTCTAGTTGTCTAGTATTGTTAGATGCCATTGAGTTGTTAGTGACTCATAGTGACATCATAGGACAGAGTAGAACTGCCTTCTTAGGATTTCCTGAGCTGTAATCTTTAAAAGAACAGATTGCCAAGCAAATCTTTCTGCCAGGAGTGCTGAGTGGGTATGTACCACCAATCTTTTGGGTAGAAGTCTCTTGCTTAACTGTTTGTGCCCCCTTATTCCTTATAGGTGTCTACCAGTGTTAAGTAACTGCTTTGCCATTGCATCCTATGGATTCCCAGTGCCCCTTACCACTGTAAATGTTGTTGTTAGTACTGTCAAGTTGTGTACAACTCATAGCAACACTATGACTGATAGACCTGAACCCTGTCCTATCCTGCACCACTGTCATCATCTCTGACGCACTTGAATCCATTGAGGCAGTTACTCTACCAGCCTATCTCACTGAGGGCCTTCCTCTCCTTCACCCATCCTCCACCTTACCAAGCATGATGTCCCTCTGGACAATGAATAGGATGACAAAATAAGAATTAGGATGTCTTTATGTTGTGGTGTTGAAGAAGAATAGTGAATATCCCATTGACTGCCAAAATACAAGTAAGTAATGTCTTGGAGAAAGTGCAACCAGACTGCTCCTGGGAGCCAAGGATGGCGAAGCTTCATTTCACATACTTTGGGCATGTTGTTAGGGGAGGCTGTTGTTTAGAGAAGACCACTGCAAATAGGGTCCTTTAATGCTTTTAAATAGAATACCTTCAGAAAACCAATTCCAAAGAAGCAGAACTAATTCAGGGAACCCCTCTTAAGGTTCTGTTCTTCTGGAACCACTTTGATAAACTCATTTTATGTTCAAAATCTTGCTGTTGGACATCTACTCCCATCCCCCCTCTTTGGCATCCAGGCCTGTTGATGAGTCATTCCTCTCCTGCATATTTTTCCAGACATTATTTGTTTGTGTTATCTCCATTTTTTTTTAATTGTGTAGAGGTACAATAAGAAGTACAAGTAAACAGCTGTAGCATTGACATTTGTTAGACATTGAAATGCGGGTGATATAAAAAGGGATTAGAGATGAAGTAAAAATTGATTCCAGAAGGTTCTTTTTAGAATAGCTAGTTGTTGCTGTTGTTAAGTGCTGCTCAGTCGAGCACTACTCATAGCAACCCTATGAGCAAAAGATCTGAACCCTGTTCTATAACTTTCATATTTTCTCTGATATTCATAGAGTTTCCGGAGGCATGTTGTTTAGGAAGTGGATGCCAATCCTGCTTCCAAACCTGTCTTAATCTGGGAGCTCTACCAAATACTGTCCACCTTTAGTAACCATTATGGCATTCAACACACAAGTGACACAGTAGTATTCAGTATAAAAGCAACCCCAAGTTACCTCAGTATAGCAAACTGACAGACAAGTGTACCACTTAGAAGAATGTTCTTCCTAAACATAATTAACACCAGGCATGAGGGCCTGAGGGCCCAACCAACTTAAAACAAAGGCCCACCCACCAGGTCCTGATTGACTAGAACAAGAGGCTTCCAGTTTTTCAGTTGTCTATTAGGAACCACAAATTAAAAACTCAAATTCATTGACATCAAGTTGGAACCAACTCAAGGCTGACCTCTAGTGGTTTTTCGGAGGCTGTGAATCGCATGGAGGAGATTCCCCATCCCCCCTCCAACCCCCAAGCTGCTGGTAAATTGCCTCCATAGAGTTTCCTGAACTGTAATCTTTTTTTTTTTAACCAAATGAATAAAAATCCCTTTACTCTAAAAGGTTTTTAAGATTTATAACAAATATTTATAACTTAAGTTAATGCATGATACTGCTTTTTTTAAAATTAATTTTAATGGAAGTTTACAGAGACTTAGGGTTTCCAGCCATTCATTGTTGCATTTTTCTCCCTGCCCATCCTCCCTCTCAATTCACTCTTCTCCTTGAAAAGGAAAAGAAAAAAAAACTCTTTCATTGTTATGCAGTCCTTCCCCCCCAAGTCCACTCCATTATGCAGCCTTCACTCTGGACTTCTGTAATCTGAACTGTAATCTTGAAGAGAGCAAATGGTTACATCTTACTGGTAATGAATGTCCTGATTTACTAGATAAATTTTTAAGATGTTAGCAAAAAACGACATTTTCAAGGATAAAGTCAAATGATGTATATAAATCGAAATCTCTGTGTTTTTCGATTGTCATAGACAATCCATACTCCATCCACTAGGCCTGCTGTCTCAGTGTTTTCCTTGGTCTCAAAACATATATATTTCCCTAATCTCTACAAATATTTCTTGCTTGTTTTAATTATTTCTCTAAATAACATTTTTTCTCTTATGGCTGCCTCTTATGACAAATCTAAGACTAAGAAGGGAAGGAGTCTTTTTTCTTGGTTCTTCTTGGTACTTTTTAAACTATCTCTCAAATCATTGCTTTTGGGTATGAACTGACTCATAACTGACCCTCCCCCAGGTTTTCAGGGCCTATAAACTACACAGGAAGAGATTATCCATCTTTCTCACGTGGAGCCACTGGTGAATTTGAACTGCCTGCCTTTTGGTTTGGAAGCACAAAGAAAATCTTCCGTTCAGTTTTTCGTTTAATGTCTTTCCCACAACTTTTCTCTTTCTGTATTTTAGAATATTTAAAGAATTCCTACTATTAGAGGTGTTCCAATTCAGTGGTAGACAACAACTATTAGAGTTGCAGAAAATTTATAGGTGATCCCGGCCTTTTGCTTGACAAATGAGAAAGTTGAGATCCAGAGAGAATAAAAGGGCTAACAAATATGCCTTTTAGGTAGGTCAGCCAGAGTACACCTTAGCAGTAAGAATATTAATGTTATTGTCTCATTTACTCATATTAGGAGGGGGCAGTTCCTGGAGAAAGATACCTCACTTGGGAAAGAAGAGGGTCAGAAAAAAAGCAGCCCTCAGTGCTGTGGACTGATGTGCTGGCTTCAGCAATAGTTGAAACACTGCAGAGATTGTGAGGATGGTGCAGGGTTAGGCAATGTTTTGTCCTTTTGTACAGAGGGTCACTAAGAGTCAAAGAATGCAGACTTTGAGAAAACCTAGACACTATGCAGGGAGCCTTAGTGGCTTAGTGGCAAAGAGTTATGCCCAGACTCATAAGCATGCAATTCTAATCCACTAGCTGGTCAATGGGATAAAAATGGACTTTCTTCTCAGATGTTATTTACTGCCTCTGAAAACCTGTTGGAGGGTTAGCTATGAGTCGGTTCTAACTCAAAAGTACATCACAACAATCAACTCTGTGTGGGTAGGATATATAACAGAAGCACTAAGCACATTACTAGAGTGACATCTATTCCTGGGGTCTTATTTTTTGCCAGTGTCTTCAACACAGCTTTCTGGATCATTCCAGCTCTTGCTCATGACATCTCAGGTGTTTGTTTTTTTTTTTTTTATTGCAACTCAAGGCTTGAATTTGTTTGTTTTTTTGTTT